GCACACAATTAATACTTAAGAGAAATAGAGAAATACAGTCGCCAAGTTAATGTCCATTCAAATAATGGACTCAACTCTCTCCCCCTCTTCTCACACTACACTGCCGGCTCTTCCCTCTCTGAGAAATTTTGGGGGGAAAACCAGGTATAGTAATAAATAATACCTCAAACTAAAGTTAGGATAATATAATTGACATTGCTGGATTCCTTGTAAGACCAGGAATATTTTGAATACAAATGTCATATATTTTTCACAAAAGATAACATATTTACACAGAATAAACTTTACATCTAAAATTTGTATGTCTAATGCAAAATCTATGATGTTTATATTCAAAATGATCACCAAATTATAAGAATTCCAGCAATGTAAATTATATTCTGGCCGGATAATTTGTATGAATTTTATGAGCTAAAACAAATATCTTCAGTTAATAAAAAAAAAAAAATATTCTTCACGACACTATCTGTCAATCAAAGTACCCCACCTTGCCTCCCCCCTCTTCCAACCACGTGGTCAGTCCCAACCCTCCCCCCCACCCCCCACCAATCCTCCCTTCAAGAGTTTTTAACATTTAGTATTAAATAATACCTCAGATTAAAGTTAGGATAATATAATTGACATTGCTGGATTCCTTGTAAGACCAGGAATATTTTGAATATAAATGTCATATATTTTTCACAAAAGATAACATATTTACTCAGAATAAACTTTACATCTAAAATTTGTATGTCTAATGCAAAATCTATGATGTTTATATTCAAAATGATCACCAAATTATAAGAATTCCAGCAATGTAAATTATATTCTGACCGGGTAATTGTATGAATTTTATGAGCTAAAACAAATATCTTTAGTTAATAAAAAAATAAAAATATTCTTCACTGTAACAGATGGTCGTTCGGTCCCTCCCTCCCCCCCACCCCCCACCAACCGTCTCACCAGATGTGTGGGAAAACCAGAATATTTACCTTTTAGTAATAAATAATACCTCAAACTAAAGTTAGGATAATATAATTGACATTGCTGGATTCCTTGTAAGACCAGGAATATTTTGAATATAAATGTCATATATTTTTCTCAAAAGATAACATATTTACTCAGAATAAACTTAACATCTAAAATTTGTATGTCTAATGCAAAATCTATGATGTTTATATTCAAAATGATCACCAAATTATAAGAATTCCAGCAATGTAAATTATATTCTGGCTGGGTAATTTGTATGAATTTTATGAGCTAAAACAGGCAGTCAGGCAGGGTGGGGGGTGGGGCGAATCTAAAAATAGCTGTCGAGCTGGACACTCACCGCTTATATGTGGAAAAAACCCGCGTTAAGTGAAAGTTCAGCTCTGGCGAGGCACCGCATATATGATAAAACGCGCTAAGTGAAACCGCGTTAGGCGGGGTAATACTGTATATATATATATATATACACTATATATATATATATATATACTGTATAATGAAAATAAAAAGTTGTATCAGTGTTATTAATTAATATCATCCAAAGTATAACTTGAAAATATGAACAGAATATATAAACGTGTTCTTGTACTAACCGTCACCTCATATGTCCCAACAGGATGAAGAAACTGCACCAGTTGAGACTGAATGTGAGAAGGACCTAGGTGTGTATGTTGACAATGAGATGAAGTTCTCCTGCCAAATAAATTATTAGGTCTTATAAGAAGGTTGATCATATCTCTAGATGGTCTGTCCCTCGTAATGATCTTCAAGAGTGAAGTGCTTCCCCATCTGGGGTACTGTCACCCCGTTTGGTCCCCGAGATATGCTAGGGACTGTCAGTTGGTTGAAAATGTTCAAAGGAGGGCCACCAGACTGGTGCCTGCCCTTTGGCACCTCAACTACCCTGAGAGATTGGGGCACCTGAACTTTCCTAGCTTATACTACAGACGGGCAGGGGGCGACCTAATTGAGGTGTACCTGTACAATATAAGCATCTCAAGGGGCTCTACTCAGTTGAGTGTCTTTACTTGGAGCTGGCGGATGCTCGCCTCACTAGGGGTCACAGCTCAAGATTGAAGAAGCCGCAAGTCCAGAAAACTGTGAGGGCCGGTGTATGCCCAGTACTTTCCAACAGTGCGTAACAGAGACGTGACCGATCTCCCAAGCGGCTAACGAGCCGATCAGTGGTGAGGAGGATAAAAGTAAAAGTAGAGCAAAAAAAAAAAAAAGCAATAGTGGAGCAGATGGTTAACACCAGAAGGACTCTATAAAATTCGTTCATATTTTCCACAGGTGTTGTTTGGATGATAGTAACAACTTTTTCAATTAAATTAAAGTAATACAATTTTTTCCCCTTTATTTACACAATCATAAATCTTTTATAGTGGACAGTGCATGAAAGATGAGGGAAATTACGGCGGGTTACAAGTGGCAAAATACCGATCATATGACAGTAATTTTATGGCTTTACATGTTTTGTACATGAAGAAATAAATATTGTCCATAATTATTATGCCAAAATATCTCCCGTTGTGCTGCGTGTTCTCGTCTGCTCTTAAACTAATAAATTTTGATTCCAATATTTGTAAACAATTACAAGTAACGACAGAGCCTCACTTTGGGGATTTTATTACTATAAATATTGGCTTATTTGTCCTTTTTTTTATTGACTGCTTTCCTGGTTTTAATTTTTATAGCCTGTGTAAATCCCTTTATTTTTTATTTTTGCACCCTTGGTCTTGAACCTATTCTATGTATAAAGGATGAGATTCATATACAGTGCAGGTATCCCTTGATATATGAATGGGATAAGTTCATATCTCGAATAAAAGAACATTTTGGAAAAATAGGGTTCAGTTTGCCAATGACAAAAATACTGTACTGTACTGTACCACAATATCATACCCCAAAAACATGAAACTGGTTCACAAAGAAGAACAAAACTTATAAAACTAATGATAAATAGTACACAACTATTTTAATTTATTACCCGACTCCTGAAATTACTAGTTATCTAATGCATGAAAAAATTTAATGAAATAGCATTCAGAGCGCGTTGTGCGGGTCGTGTATTGTGACGTCTAACAAAGCCTGCTGGCACTCAGGCCTTCGTTGTTGAGTGGCAGAAACTGGACAGTGATTACCTAAGAGCATGAAGATCGTCTTGGTGATGTGAATGTGTAAATTGATGTAGGATTTTTAACGTTATTCACGATTGTATATTGAAAAACACTACTGATCGAAGGAATAGGTTGGGAGATATACAACCACAAAATCATTGCCATATGACAAGATTTATCCAGAATATTTTTGATTTGTTGCGCTCATGGCTATGACTGACCATCTAAAAGTTGATCAGAGAGTGTAGTACCTTTAGGTAAGACAGTCCATAGTGGGTGGAGATAGAAAATAAATTGAAGTCAAAAACAAATTCGGGACAAGCAACAGGCATCAGCGCCTGGAAGTAACCAAGACATATTGGTGCCATAATGAAAGATTTTCTTTTGTGTGTGTTTTCTAAAGGACTCCAATTGTGATCATGATCCACCATTCATAGGGAGATACAGTGTACATAGTGATAATACAAAGAGATAAATTCATTGATGAGAACTAGAAATGAGAAAAAGAGTAAATAATAGTTAAAAAAAACTAGCTCAACTGTCTCGCACGGCAACACTGGATGAGCGAGGGTACCAGTGACATCGAAACCCAGTAGGACAGCCAATTGATTTTTTAAAATAATATTATCCTGTTCACTTACATTACAAGGTGGTAGGTGTGATTACAAGGGAAGCCATCCAGCATGGGGTGAATTCTTCCTCAGAAATTAAGTGTGAGAGTCCGGTAGTTGGCATCATCCCCCCTCCCCCCTACACACCAGACAAAGAGGTCTATGTATACTGTATATGCATAGCATGGGGCTATAAAGGGTCCTTCCCACTTAAGCTCTTTCCACCAAGACACAGAAGCAATTATCATAGTAATAATAAAGATTATTACCTGTACAGTCAACCCTCGTTTTACGCGGTCCCACTTTACGCGTTTCCACGTTCACGCGGTACCCTGCCGAAACCGGAATGCTCACTTTCCGCGGTGTGTCTACCCTTTTACGCGGAGAGCGGCGCGAGCAGGGTGCGCACAAGGTCGCCCAGTCATCAAAACATTACCGAGTTCTTCACCCGCCACCCACCACAGCCGGCCCAAGTCGGTGATAGTGATAATGATAGTGAGGATATGGACTTTGAGGGGTTTGACAAAGAGGCCCTGCAAGCCTCTGTGGTGGATAGTGATACAATTGATACAAGTGATACAGGTGAGGGCCAATAATCTGCCCTCTGCCTCGGAACCAACCCCCAATCCCCGTGTGCCCAGCCATCTTTTCTACTAATGTAAGTGTTAAAAAACCTAATATTATTGATATTTCTCTTAATTATTAATTGTGTGTGCATACCATCATAAAATTAAGAAGTTATTTTTACTACAACGTAGGTATTGTGTCTGAAAAAGTGGAGTTTGGGGGTCGGCCTGGTCTCTATTTCAATTAATCCCATATGTTATGTTGTTCACTTTACGCGGGCCGCCGTGGGTTGAATTAACCACGTAAAGTGAGGGTTCACTGTACTATTAAGCCACCGAATAGAATTATATCACATTGTAAATTGGCTTAAGGCTAAGAAGAGTCTTACAGAGTCTCCACATCCCTCCTCCCCAACAGCGGCAGCTGTCAATGACCGCATGTCCCACAGGTGTAAGTTCGTAAAAGGAAGAAGAAAGTTGCATTGGGAATCAGACGCTAAAACCCCAGCAACACCAGGAAGTTTGTTGACATGAGATTACTACAGGGCGACGCCTAATGTAGATTGTGTGGGTTTGGGCTTACCAGCACTTAGGACGATGTAGAATGCTGTAAAGCTTGAAGGCTCTTGCTGGTATTGTGCTGACTCATAATTAAGTAAACGAGGCAATTGCAGATCACAGGGGAAAGAGATACAAAGGCAGATGAATGGGGGTCCGGGGGGGTCCAGACCCCCCCTTTTCATCAGAAAATTCCAATACTTTTTCTTTAATGCAGTATTGTGCTCAGACATTTTTGTATAGTAAAAAGTAATTACTATTGACTTCAGAATATCTAATATCAAGTGCACATCGCTTTGCTCACCATGTTCCCCCACCCAAAACTTCTTGGACCCCTTCCCTCCTACCCTTTTGATATTCCTGGATCTGCCCCTGAGATAGTTATAGACAACAATAGAGGAAGCTAAGTCCTTATTGGTTGCCAAGCTGAAGCAGGTTGGGAGAGAGATCCTCATTAAGATTGAGGAAGTAGCTGACAGAACAGAGGAAGTAAAGAGGAGCTATGCTCAGGTTGTAGCAGGGTCACAGAAGGTGATGGAGAGTAATGCAGGATCTGAACAAGTCCTCTGGCAGCTAGGGACTCTGCAGAAGTGTGTTGATGAGTTTACAACTAGTAGACCTACTGATGTGGGAGAAGAGGAGAAATGGAAACGTTCAGAGCATAGGAAGAGTATAATCGTGTTTGGAGTCCCTGAGAGCCAGTTGGAGGAAGCTGAAACTAGGAAAAGGCACGATAAGTTGAAATTTCAGAGTATTGTTTGTGATGAGGCTCTGAAATTATCAGTTCCCACATGAGGAGGCTAGGAGGAGGACAAGCCCCACCCCTCAGGCTCACACTAGTGAGTGAGGGTAAGAAATGGGAAGTTATTCAGCAGACATAAAACTTAGCAAGGAGCAATGCTCCTTGAAGCAGAGGAGGGAGGAGTCGATGGGGAACAGGATTGAATGTACATGGCCTATATGCAGGGGGAAGGTAGTGGAGGCAAGTGCACCAGTACAGAATCAGGGGACAGTGGGACACCCCCCACTCGCTCTACCTCCCACCCAGGAGGAGGCGAGCACCATGTAAATAATGTTATCTCTGACCACACCCCACAAACCACAAGGGATACAGTAAATGAGGTAGTTGCAGAGAATGGAGGGGGCCCGGAGTCAATACGAAGACCAGAGACATTACCGAGGACAATTTCTGGTCTGAAAGTCATGTACAGTATAGTCTCGGTTTACGCGGTCAATTAAACCCGTGGAGGTCTGCTTAAAATGAGAAACGCGTAAACGAAATAACAGAACATATGGGATTAATTGAAATAGAGACTGGGCCGACCCCCAGACTACCCTTTTTCCGACAATACGTACGTTGTAGTGAAAATAACATCTTAATTTTATGATGGTATGCACACACAATTAATATTTAAGAGAAATATCAATAATATTAGGTTTTTTAACACTTACATTAGTAGAAGAGATGGCTGGGCACACGGGGATGGGAGGTTGGTTCCGAGGCAGAGGGCACCGCGGAAAGTGAAATCCGCGTAAATGGAACAACAGAACATATGGGATTAATTCCAATAGGGACTGGCCCGACCCCCAAACTCCACTTTTTCCGACACAATACCTATGTTGTAGTAAAAATAACATCTAAATTTTATGATGGTATGCTCACACAATTAATATTTAAGAGAAATACAGTCGCCAGGTTAATGTCCATTCAAATAATAGACTCAACTACCCACCCCCCTCTTCCGGGCTCACTAGCTTCTACCTCTCTGAGAAATGTTTGGGTGAAAACACTAGATTTTAACGTTTA